GACTTTGGAATGTTTTTTTTGATTTTGAAAAAAGAAAGATTTTGAGGAAAAGACGTCGGCAGCTGGAGATCATCAGGGATCAAAAGAGCAGGATAAAGCGGTTTGCACGGCTTCTCCTGTTTTCAGTACGTTCATAGTGAAGGATGGTGGGAATACTTACGGATAGACAGAGTGCGTGTGATTCAGTTATCTGAAGCTTTAGGATATGAAGCTTTCTTCCAAGCTACGATACCCTCCCCAGCAGAGATGTTGGTGCATGCGGCCCTAAGTATCGCTGAGCGACTGAGGTGTCAGAGACCTTAATGCTCTTCCTTTCGACCAGCTCATTAACCTCTGAAGTGCTGCTAGATTTGAGACATGCTTTTGTTATTACGTAAATAAAATTGGAATGCCAGTAGTAATTGCTTTATCGCACCTTTTTTTGCTGCTCTTATTGCCCACACTGCAATAGATAACAGCGTTTGTGTCTCACTTTTGATTTCCTTTTCTTCAATACTCGCTTATTCAGAATCATTGCTGTTACTACCAGTATTCGCTTAATAAACATGTGGTGATAATGAAAGAGATTTGCTTTACTAAATTCATGGATTCACAAATCGGACACAGAACAGATTTCGAAGCCGAGTGCCTTTGACTAACTTATCTATTGACTTAAGCACACTAGACGTGCTTTTCTATTATCACGTCGTTGCTCATGTGTTGTTCACACAAATTTGTCTAGTGTGTTGAGTTGGCAGTATGTAACCTTGCTCACTATTCATTTTAGAATAGTATTTTAATAGTATTTTTAGGAGGTAACTCGCTTTTTTGAAGATAAATTTCAGAAATAACGAATGCCCAAGAAGAGAACATATAGCGCAGATCTTGGCTTTAGGTGGTCTCCATTGAGATAAACGTTCGATTTTGTGACTTTTGTGAACAATTTCATGATCGCTAAAAAGCGGAAGCAAGTGATGATGTCACTCAGCACGACTTACGCCAAGCATTTCCACTAGAATGTTATCGTCAATTGCGAAACCGCTATCAAAAGGTTTCCCCACTGCGACCTTTAAGATTGCTCTATCAATATAGACTTAAGTGTTAGGAATGTGCAAGAATGACACGCAAGTTCTTGCAGACTCACTTCTGAGAATACAATAAAGTTGGAAAATTACGAAAAAATTGAAAACTAATATACTTTCTATTTGATAAGGGTGCAATAGTCCAACGTTTTTATTATGTGGAAAAGTGTTGATTTTCTATCAAGAAGCCCGTACCAACGCAGCCACTTTTCCTGCATTTTCTTAACAAAACCAGTGACCTCATCGCAGTCGAATGATATCATTAAGAACATTGTACATTTGTGACAACCAACATTCGCAGTTATAGTTGCTTGCTGAAACTGATCACACAAACGTTACCCCTTCCTTTATCATATGGTAGGAACTCTGTGCAGATTTTGCGTTTTATCAAGGTTGCATCTATCTTGACAGTTTTGATAATACTGGTTGTCTCAAAACTAGTGCAAACTGTGTTGCTATTAATTTCCTTCTTCCAACGTCTTTCGCTTTTGAAAGCCTTTATGTTGAACTACACTCGACTTTCAAATTGCAGTATAGGGCGAATCATTGCTTTCCTTCATTGCTGTAGGCTTACTGGTAGGAACTTACATCGCCAAAATGCAATAGGCAGTCTAAGCAAACTAGGAAGTTGTTTACAAATTTTCGCGGCCTTTTAAAATGTTTTGCGACTGGTGTTATTATTGTTTGAGGAGCATGAACAGCTGTTACGGATGCCTTGGTGAACAAGTTATATCTAAAGTCAATGATACTTATTAGTTGTGAATATTTTAGCTTGCTTGAATTTTTTCCCAGGCAAAATGAGGACCTTATTTGATCAAATCTATCTACAACGTTACGACCATCATCTTGACTAAATCGTAGTGATGTAGTGCGATCAACGACTTACTGGAAAATCTAAGATTAAGCCATCTACAGAGTGGTATATGCAAAATGGTTTAAATACCGCTGAAAGATGGACTTTAGAGCAAAAAAGATTTTGAAGACCAGTATGCACATTATCTCCATTTTTCCCGAGTATTGTTTTCATAATTCGCCTCATTGTTGCATTCTCTGCTTTGAGTGCGCTTCTTCTCTGGAACGTCCTAGCTTTGGTCACTCTGTAGGACAGCTGTAGTTGGTATCCGTTGATGCGGTAATTTTTCATCCCGCTTGCAGCTTTTTTTGAATGATGAGCTTAACAGCATGGCGGGCAAAACAGCGGCTACATAATTGAACCAGGTATTAGGTTGTCCGGAAATTAATGCAGGTTTTGCAAAATCTCACTTCAAAGTGTCATAACTCCTTCAAAACTGCATGTTTTGAAATGAGGTAAAAACTGCTATGATCAGCAAGTCTTTTTCTATCTAAAGCATGCCCAATTATTTCTGTAGCTCCAACAAGCAAATTCCTGGAAACCAGAAAGTAAGAAGGTTTTTCTTCAACAAGGTCATATTTGGCAAATTGTAAACTCCTATTGGATATGAGTTCTCAGCGAGAAACTCTGCAGCTTATAGTTATAGACCAGTACTACATATATAGCTATGCAGAAATTTTTCAAAAAATTCTCTGCAAAAGAAAAAATTACGGAATCAAAATTTTCCATTTTTTCGATATTTCTTCCGCGGAGGCGATCTCCGATAATTTTGATTTTTTTCTTGACTCAACAAAAATAAAGCCTGAGAGGTACCAGTTGAAATGATATCTGACAGCACTGGCCTCACTCTTCAAGCACGAGGAGAGACATTCACGGTTGCTTTCTTTAAAAAAGTTTTCTACCCCATGGACTCGCCGCGACAATTATTCACGATAAAGCCTCAATTTCTTTGCTCTCACTATAGTTTCAAGGAAGTGCTTCTATTTATTTTGTAGGTTCACTCAATATCTTGCTTTAGTTATATTATCATAAAATACCCTCCTTACCAAATAAGTTCAAGCCAAAATAGTGCAAAAGGTAAATTTTGTGATCCGAAGCTTCATCTTCGGATGGTTGTAGATTTTGAACAAACGAAGTTGATTGTAGAGGTAATACATATAAGAGAAAGCATGAAGAGATGTTTTCTATAGTATGTGAAGTTGGTTGAAATATGCACATATACAGAAGAACGATCCCTTTGAAAATGCATCTGCAGAAACCTGCATTAATTTCCGGACAACCTAATAAATGGAAACACACAGTGCAGCGATTTAAGGCTTAGTCCACGTTTCTGGGTTGGTCCACTAAATCGCTAAAACGGATCTTACGACATTCCAGTTGGCGAGTCTTAGGCAAGCGCCATACTTGATTCGCTTAATCCTTCGTCATTGGTCAATTCAGTGAACTGACCAATAGTGAAGTGTTGTCCAAGCTAGACCGTCGCTCAATCTCGGCATTGTTTAATTGCTTCTTGAGACTGCTTGAGCTGTACACCAAGATATTAGTAACTTCTTTCATGAAAGAAGTTACTAATCTTGGTGTACAGCTCAAGCAGTTTCAGTAAGTGAAGTGAATGAAGTGAAGTGAATGAAGCGGATCAAGCGAATCAAGCGGATAATCGCTTCGCTATTACACAGTTCACTGAATCGACCAATGAGGAAGCGGGTCAAGCGGATCAAGTATGGCGCGTTGCTTGGGCACGACCACAGCTAATCACTTGATCAGCTTTGTAGTTGGTCAAATGAGCTGAATGACCAATAGTGAAGCGAAGTCCACTGAATCCGCTTACCCACTTCGCTGTTGGTCGTTCGCTGATATGACCCGTAGCGAAGTGTACGAAGTGGAGGAAGCTGATGATCATGGATTGAGAGTGGCGTGTCCTTTAAAGCGCGCAGAAAGTGCCTCTCAGATTCAGTTTGTATCTTACGAAGAAAGCTACCTAACTTAACTCGCCCTTTTGGTAAAAGGCATATAATTCTGAATCAGCTTCAAACGCTGATTTCACAAAATGCTACTAACTGCCACGCACCATTCCGAAGCGAGGTGTGGGCTTTTTCCTATGCAAAATAGACATACTACTGAGAAGATTGCCTGTAGAAACTGCAAGAAAAAGGTGCTGAGGTATCGAAATAGTACAAATCAAATTCTTTTCTCACTAAAAAAAGCTTAACGCAGGTGTGGCAGCATTTAGATGATGATAACGTGATGCCTGTGAGTCGATGAGCATGCCAATTTTGCGCAGGAGGCCATAACTCGCTTCGGAATGGTGCGTGGCAGTTGGAAATAGCATAATCTGGAATCAGCGTTTGAAGCTGACCAGACTATATTTGTCCCTTGCTAAAAGGCCGAAAGTTAGGTAGCTTCCCTTGTTAGCAACAAAAGCGAGACTAGTAATACTAGTAAGACGAGTAACACGAGCAGCACTGGTCACACCGGACCCGTAACAGTGGTAACACCGGTAACATGGTAACATCGGTAAACACTGACTGATTCCTAGCCTTCCTCACAGCATTATAATGGCATTGAAACTCACTGTGCAGTGCTGTCTATCACGAATAAATTGTGAACAACAATTCCTTTCAACGCTTTTCCATTTGAGATCGCTGGCTTTGAAAGTATAAGACCTTTCTGCAGAAGAGCAAACTAGAATTCAAGTCAGTTGCGCCTTGCCCAAGAACTAAATATGCAGGACGTCCTGTAAGGTCCGAGGCTCGCCCAGTATTTTTCTTGGGCTGTCGGTGCTTCGATGAAACAGTCAGGGACTCCGCCTTTCCGCGATAACATTGAACCGCGGGAAAGGCGGCCGGCCCTAACTGTTTCATCGAAGCACCCGCAGCCCAAGAAAAACACTCGGGCGAGCCTCGAAACTTACAGGATGTCTTGCATATTTGGTTCTCGGGCAAGGCCCAACTGATCTGAATAATTTTGGGCCGTGGATGGTCAATCCAAGAATTTAAGGTCTGCGCGCTGCCAAAAGGCAGTTTAGGGCCTGCGGGCGCTCGCGATAATTGTCTGAACATATATTCTATCATCAATTTGTGGGCTAAGACTGATGGCTTGCACGTCTACAGTTCAAACAAATCTATAAACTCGCAAAAAGTTTGAATACGATGCTCACTACTGCTCTGCTGACCAAATGCATTCCGTCCTCCCCAGAGGTAAGTTTGTCAGCACTACTTGACGCTTAGTGCCATATCTTAAATGAAATGTAAATAACTATCTATCCCAAAACAACAACGTGCAAAAGCGGTACTTATAAACTGCAAATTTCTCAGCACAGACTGAAATCAATCCTTTTTCATTTCATGACAGTAAATATAGAACATTTGTAGGAGCAAATCCAAACTCTTGAGCAACACTGGTTCATGCAAATTCGTCTTCATGTCTCCGTTCTGGTAGAAACAGTTTTACTAAGCATCCTCTTATTTTTCTAGTACCTTGACGCGGCGACAGATATTTTCTGCGCACGCCAGTATATTCAATAGGGTGAATTGTTCGGGCCACTTTTCCACCGCGTTCAAGGTTGTGCACCCTGTATTCCAAGTCCTCATGCTTGAATGCGGGGCGCTACAGGGGAGAAAGGAAAGGAAGGACGCGAGAGGCACTGTAGGGAGCCGCTTTCTTCAGAACAAAAGGGGCCCAGGGGACTCAATTCCAGCGCATTCGAAGTTCTGCCTTCATCATCATCTATCATGACTTAATAACGGGCTAAGGGTTGTTTACGTGTTTGTGTGTGTGTGTGTATGTGTGTGTGTGTGTGTATGTGTGTGTGTGTGTGTTTGTGTGTGTGTGTTTGTGTTTGTGTGTGTGTTTGTGTGTGTGTGTGTTTGTGTGTGTGTGTGTGTGTGTGTGTGTGTGTGTGTGTGTGTGTGTGTGTGTGTGTGTGTGTGTGTGTGTGTGTGTGTGTGTGTGTGTGTGTGTGTGTGTCCGTTACGAAATTCGTAGAGCGAGTTCCAGCCAACCTCTTGAGCCCAAATTTTGCAGGCGCATGCTAGCAGCATGAAAGTTCCGTTAGGCAAAAGCACGAGCGGGTCCGTTGAGTGGATCCATTGAAAATTGCGCTTCAAACGAATCCACTTGGCTTCTGGACAGCAAAATCGGGCCTATACCACTACTTTTTGCAAAGTCATGGATATGATTAACAAGCTAATGTGCAAACCATGGACTTTAACTCAAAAAATTGAACTAAAGTTGATTACTTTACGAAAATGGCGCTGAAAAAAGTTAGTTGCGTAAATGTTCAATTTGCCAAGATTTTGCCTAATCATTTGAGAAGATTTTTGCGTAGAGATGTAGCCCACGGTGATCATCGTTGTTACGGCAACTACACCATAAAAATTCCAAAAACCAGTTCAAGTTTGCATTTATTATTCTCGGAAAAGTTTCATTCATGGAAAATACCGATCTCACACAAAAAAAACTCTCAGAATGAGTAGTTGTTTACAAATCATTCGTGACAGACTGCATAGCGCGGTGAGTTTCAATGTCATTATTATGCGGGAATGTAAGGCATACGGAAGGTAGGGCCAGTGCAAGCCTCTGCGAAGGGTGACCCACTGGTATATCTATAAAAGTCAAAGTTTGTGCAACTCTGAACCGCATGTTTTTTTAGACTTTCTTGCGCGCAAACCAACTGAGCTGAAACTTTGCAGATATATGTTTTCGACCCCTGTAGATGGTTTTAGGCTACTCTTTGAGGCGATTTTCTAGTCTTTTCTGTCGATTTATTGATTTTTGGCACCCAGCAATGAAAATGAAGCCTTATCAATCGCTGTAATACTGCTTGCACTTTTGGTGTAAACAATAGCAAAGAAGCTCATTCTCATTTTGCGGTCAAAGGATGCGGTACTTTGAGATAACGCTGCTTCGAGGTAGGCATTTGCTACAATGCACCCTGCAAATGGATATAGGCTGCAGGACCGGAGAAGGAAAGGGGGGGGGGCAGGAATGCAGCAGATGGAAGCGGACTAAAAGATGGAAAGGCGTAGGTTTTGAAGCAGAACATATATTTTATGCGCTCCCCCTCTGGCTCCGTGGCTCATGAACCGGGCAAGGCCGGGTATGCCAGCTAGTAACTTATAAGGGTGGGCTAAGAGTTGTTTATGTTTTGTGTGTTCTGCTTGTCCGCTACGACATTTGCAGAGCGAGTTTCAACCAAGCTCCTAAGCCCGAATAACTCAAGATAGCAGAATGTACAGCCTTTTTCAACCCGAAGTAGGCGAAACATTCCCAGTAGAGCAGCGCGTCCGCAAGCCACTGACTCGGCGAGATAGGATGGAATGAAGAGACGCAGACTGCAAAGCGGCGCGAATCGTTGCGAAGCGGGCTCCCGTCAGTCTAATTTCGGCCTAAAGTGAAACTTACTAAATTGCCACGCTGCAAAAGCACGAGCGGATTCGATTAGTAAAACACTCAGAAAGTGCACGTCAAACGGATCTACTTAACTTTGACTAGCAAATTTGTGTTCGTAGTATGATTTTTTGCACTTCGTATTATAATTTTTTACAAAGTCATGGATATGTTGGCAAGGAGTACAAGGCATGGAGTTTAGCTTAGAAAATTGATCAAAAGTCTATTAGTTTGCGAAAAGGACGATAAAAAGGATTGGTTGCACAAAGATTTAACTTGCCAAGGTTTTACTTGAGTTTTGAAAAGAGTTTGCGCAGATATGTACTTAGCGGTGATTGTTGTTCTTGCATCGTTTACCAATCCATTAAATTCAGAATTAGAATTATTCAGAAGGCGATTCAAACGTGCATTTGCTCTTTCGGAAAAAGTTTCGCTCACGCAAATTACCGATCTTACATGAAAAAGCTTTCAAAAAGTGTAGATGCGTACAATTTATTCGTCATAAACAGCACTGCATTGAATTCCAGTGTCATCTTACTGGCGGATATGTGTGGCATATGTATAGTAAAACTAGTACGAGCCCTTCTGCGAAGCAGAGATGACGCACTGGTTCCTAACTAACAGTGAGACACACTGAGTGTTGTCAATGTATCACGTACGAAATGCTAAAAACTACCCAATTCAATACTCCATCATATAAACGTTGGTGTACAAAAAACCGCCCTGAGATGTCGCCCTAGCAAGCAACTGCATCATCTGCACGATCAGTTAATGCTCATCATCTTTGAAACCTATACTTGAAGATTATTTTCTTGTCAGAGACTACAGAAATTCACGAAAGAAAGCGAAGGAGAATAGCCGATTAAAGCCGCAACCGGTCCTGCATTAAAGTGAATGTACCTTGTATATTGAGCGTTACTTCTTTACCACTTCCTTTTCCGTGAACTCGAACAGCTTTGAGAACACCCATAAGCGGCTGAAGTAAACAATTGCAATCAAGGCTGTAAGTGTGGCTATCGCAACACCCTTAGCAAAAATGCTGCATCGACGACTGACTTTAAAATAAACTCTACCAACCGGTACGGGCTGCCTTAGTGTTTCTGTTTTGAATGATAATATGATAAGTTATAACTCCTTCTTCTAAAATCAAGTATGCTTCATTTTCGTAGTGCTTTGTCAAGAAGCTGCTAGGAATCGTAGAGAGTTGCAAGATTGAGGCTAATGATTCTTTTTGCTTGCGAGTGTTGTGGAATCACTAGTAAAATTCTCTGACTGAGCCAACACAAGCGTATGAGCTCAACGCGTAGTCTGTACTGATTGAATCAAATTGCTGCACCATTTTGACTTTGACACTGAAAAGAGCTTTACCGCCCCTGTTTACCCGGCAATTCGAAAGTGTTCTGTTTACTCATGACAAGCATTCATTGTCGTAGATGTAAGTAAACAAATAAATAAATCAATAAGGGCTAAGGTAATCGCCTCACAAAGTAGGCTATGTTTTCGTCGCCGTTATCTATACGGGAGAGAAATTTAGCTTCTTAGGTACACTCAGGTTACACATTTTTTGACTTTTATACATGTATATAGAGGGAGGGATTATTGAGCACTAGCTGATGATTCGATCTCGCTCGAGACTTTTAGTTCAACCAAGATAGGGAAGGGAACGAAATCCGCCAGTTTGAAACATCTCCGCGGATTACTGGTCCTGCAACCCACAACAACAGTATTTCAAAAGGACCAGTTGCCAGCAAAAGCTGGCTCAAACTGGCGGAGTTCGTTCCCCTCCACCAAAATGTCATCGGCTCCCAGATTCGTGTAGAGGAGGGTTGCGCACTTCCTTGATTTTCAGGACAAACTTGTCAAACCTCCATGTCTTAGCACTATATTTCGTACTTTCTCGTTGAGCTTTCCTTAAAGCCAGTAAAGTCCGCAGCCCGCCTCCACACGAATCTGGAAGCTGATTATAGTTACACTTTCTAACTTCTACAATGCGCAAAAAGCGCTTTGAGACGAACTCGCTGCATCCTGTCGACCTTGAGATCAGAATGAACTTTACTACCCCTACTTACATGTTTATTGGAAAATTATTGGAGCACGTCTAACTTTCATTTTCCCAGATATAAGTAAACAAATCAATAAATCAATAGAAGTACCTGCCAATCGTCTCAAAAAGTAGCCAAAAACCACCGCCGGCCGAAAACATATGTGTGCGAAGTTTCAGCTCAATCGGTTCAGTGACTGGCGTTTACATAACGAACGGACAACTAAACGAACATCCTCACAGGCATTGAGTTTTATATATATACTAGCTGGCTTACCCGGCTCCGCCGCATGTTTCGAATAGAAAATTCCATTTCTTAACCGATCGGGACCAAACTTGGCACACATACACTTCGGGCCCCGGCGGGTGTCACAGTCCACTTTTCGTTATCGATCGATGTCGATTTTATCGATTTTTTGCAAAATTTGAGCTAGGGGGCTGGAATTTGGCAGAGGGGTGTAATCGAGCATATATATCGCGCATGCTGATCACCCCCACAGAGGTGATCAGCATGCTCGATTACCCCCCTGTGCCAACTCCCAGCCCCGTAGCTCAAATTTTGCAAAAAATCGATAAAATCGATATCGATCGATAACGAAGAGTAGCCTATGACACCCGCCGGGGCCCGGAGTGTATGTGTGCTAAGTTTGGTCCCGATCGGTTCAGAAATGGAATTTTCTATTCGGAACATACGTACATACAGACATACAGATATACATACAGACATACATACAGACATACTTACAAACAGACATTCAGCTTTAGGCTGCGTTCATACTGATCCCGAAGTCCGGGAACAGTTCTAGCACAACGCTCAGTTCGAGCACTGTGCTGGAACTGTTTCCGAACTTCGGGATCAGTATGAACGAATCCTTATATATAAGACCAGTGCTTCACCTCTGCTTCGCAGAGGTTCGCACTGGCATCGTGAACCGTGCTAAACTCATTTTCTGAGAGCTTGTCTCTCAAATCATTGTTCGGTTTATTGCAAAGTGAGCCATAGTTAAAAATGAACCATACTCGCTATCTTAACCTCACCTGATGTTTAGTATTGTAAATCATTCCTCACTGTAATTTCGTAACGGACAAACTCCACACAACTTCATTAAGCCGCTTATTATAAGTCATGATAGATTGCAAGAGACTCAAAAATGAATGTGAATAGCATGAAGATCAACATAACAACATTAGAAGGAACAGCAGGGTTTGCCATTGCAGAGTCGGTGCAGCAGCTTCCGACCTCTTTCGCGAACACGCTTTCTTATTATTTTCCCACAATCAGCGTGGGAAGCGCGGGGCCTCAATTACCAAATAAGCGTGCGAAAATGACTAAAGAGCATATTTTCGAAGGAAGGGTAGAGCTGAGGCGGCCACGCGGGAGGAAGATGCTGGTGCAGAGTCTTGTACGAAAGCGTATGAAGTCTGTTACTTTATCATTGCGATCAATTTTTCACTTCTTGCAGTAGAACATCCAAAACTGGAAAACAAGGGTGGAAAAATTATTGACGGCAGTGATTTAGTGTATCATCAATCAAATGCTAAGATCATCATGAATAGTCAGAAAATTGGAGTTGGGTATAAATACGAGAGTGGATATGGGTTAGGAGAAACGTTACAGTCGGGTATGCTAAAGCCTTTCTGATTGGTAAGACAAAATATGACCTTCTGCCTCTTGATTGGACTGATGACTTATATCGTAAAGTTGAAATTGAAATAGAGCTTCCTCTCTTTGGAATATTTTTTTAAGCAACTTAGGAGTAAATTGTGTTTGAAAGTACCTCTAATGCACTTACCACTAAAGCATTTTATCTTATCCAATTTTGATTGCTATTCGCATGAAAAAATCTGCCTGCGACATAATGTATTTAGATGGCCCGCAGCCACTCGGGTGCTGTGCTACCTTTTGGAGTGCAAGAGATAGCTGAGTGTCCAGTTTGTTGTGAACGTTTCGTGGATCCACTTCAACTCAGTTGTGGGCATTCACTATGCAGTTCCTGCGTGGACAGGCTTGTAAGTTTTACACAAACATCTTTTTAGCACTATACATCGTTCTAGAATCTTTTTGCTTTTATGGTTGTTTCGCCGATTGTCGGAAAGGCTATCAAAAGTCTGTCCTATCTCATTGTTTTGCAGAATCACACTCTTCTTTTTTACTCCTTGCACTAATCTGCTGCAAAAGCAGAGGCATAATCATGTATTTGCTGTGTGAAATAACAATGTATGAAGCTGAAACGTGAGTTGCTGAACAGAGCGAGCAAAGAAACGATGAGCCGCTTTCAATCAGCTTCACCTTTTTTTTACTTTACTGACTAACAACAACGATTAAAGGCTCTATAGAGTAGCAATCAAAGCAGAACTAGTGGATTAGACTGCTATAATCAAAAGCGTACACCATTTTTTCCACTCTTTGATAATTTGTGCTTTTGAATTTCCTGACTGGGTTGCGCTATGGTCTTCTCAGACACTGTAATGCGGCGAATGGCTATTTTTGTCCTAAAATCGTGAAATTGGCGATAACAAAAGCATAGCCATGCTTTCGATAGTTTAGAGACTGAGCCGCGAAGGTAAAGACGTTTAGAACACCATCCATCTTCCCCCTCCCCCCTCCTTCCCCATAAAAGGTTAAGGTTGCTTAATAAAAGGACTGGAGAAAAAAGGAGATAAACTGAATAGCAGAAGCAATAAAAATTGTTGAAAACCGGGTAGAAACGCTACCATAACTTTAAGATTCCTTTTGGCGAACGCGTGCTATTACGAATAGCAAGCTTTAGGATCCAGTGGTCCACAAATCGGTGAAAACAAAAAGTTAACTTTTTTCAACAATTTGTTCAAAATGATAGCTATAAAGTGTTGTTTGCCAAGAAGACCATAAAAGGAAAAAATAGTCATAAAACTTTTATTTTACTAGATCCTAATCACATCAAAACCAATCTTTTTGAAGCCCTTTGAATGTTTACCCACGCATTGTCGTTTCTGTTCCTCACTACCTTGTCAGCATTATTACTCATCATTCTCAGTAAGGAACTAACAAGATGACAGTGCGGACTCGAAGTGGCCTTTTCCACCGAAACGCTATACGTTTGCAAGTCCTGGCAAGCAACTTACAAAACAGCGATCCCTATCTGCCAAGCGGTTCTGTGTGGCAAAATATGAGGTTCGAATTCCATGAGACCGCGCGTTCAACACAAGTATGCGCGGCCGTCCTCAACACGTAGTGAGCGCGCGGCCGTCCTCAACACGTAGTGACGGCATAGCGCAGTGACGAGAAGTTGAACTCGTAGTTTTTGAGGTCTAGGTTCGAATCTTTTCCTAAGCATCATTTTTGCACCTGTCTCCATTTGTTTTTAGTGATAAGCTGATCTTCCTAGCATCACCAGAAACAATATTTATTGCAAAAATATAACTGAATCTCCCTTATACGCCTAGCAAATTGGTGGTAATATACATGTGTGATAACTTACAATGAAATGTTGAACAAAGGAGTCTGTTGTTCTTATCAATGCTGAAGCTCTGCGTTGCCCTAACTCGTATTAATGTCTTTTACTGGTGATAGTGTTTTTTTTTTCAGATCAGCGCAATTTTTTCGGTGAACATACGACTGGCTAATTTTTGAAATCTCTAGTAGCCGTATTTTTGCAATAAATATTGTTTCTGATGATGCTAGGACGACCAGCTTTTTACTAAAAACAAAAGGAGACGAATGCAAAGATGATGCCGAGGAAAAGACTCGAGCCTAGATTTCAAGGATTATGAAACCAACCACTTGCCACTGCGCTATGCCGTCATTCTTCTTTAATGACGGCCGCGCATACCTGTGTTGACTGCGCGATCTCAAGAATTGGAACGCTCATATCTTGCCCACAGGACCGCTTGGTAGATACGGATTGCTGTTTTGTAAGTTGCGTGCCAGGACCTGCAAACGTATGCGTTTCGGTGGAAAAGGCCACTTCGACTCCGCACGGTTCCCTTGTAAGCATAAAAAATGGTTGCGCACTCAATCCAAAAAAGAACTATGAAAAAATGCGTATTTGCACTTTTACCAAAAATTCGCCACAGAAAAAGTAAGCTCGGTGACGTTGTCTGCATTATAGACGGGAGCAAGATCTAATAAATACACAAAAATAGGGTGAAGAACTAAACTGAAGAAGAAACAAGAGATTATTGAAAACACGTCTTTTGCCACATTTCTCGTACAAATAGAAAAATGGAGCCTGACGACGTTGTCAGATAAAAGTAGAGATCAAGATCAAGAGCTATAATATGACATACGGACCGCTGAAACTTGGTTCAGAACAACGAGTAGAAGGGTACCAGAGCCAAACGTCCCGCGTGTGGTATTTCTCAAATTCCAACAGCTTTCAGATTCAGTTAGCTCATTCGTAGTCGGACGTCAGTTGAGAACTTGTCCTTGTTTCTAGGAAAATTAACGCGAAAACCTCGTTTCAGCACAAAAAAGGCTATAAAAATGCAATTTTTTGGTACTATTGGAACGTTTCTGAAATATCACTTACTATGCGTGCTTTATTCACAATCATTCCGATTTGGTGAGCTTAGAAACTGGGGCTTTGTCCAGTATGGCAACATTTTTTGAGCGAAGGTTGTTCCCTTATGTTGTGTTTTTTGATGCCACTTGAGGCCGCATGCATTAACATCCCCGCCGGTGAAGGGATCGCAGCTTACAAAAATCCTGAAGCTATCATATCCTTCATATCCTGAAGCTCCGAACTTTTGAATTTCACGCTGTCTACTTATCGTAACTATTGCTACCATCCTTCACTATGAACATGTTGAACAGGAGCTGCACGAGTCGCATTTTCTAGCATTTTGTATGATCCCTGATGATGCTTGGTGGCCGACCGTCTTTTCTTTAAAGTCATTTTCCTTTCTTCAAAGTTAGCGAAAACATTCCAAAGTTGTGCTGTTTATTCAACGCAACAGTGCTAATCATGGTTCTGGAATGATATCCACGAAAGTCCCCTCGAAATGGGCTTTTCGTGCGAATAAAATGGACTTATCAGTGGCGTACCCAGGATTTCGGCTCGGGGGGGGGGGGCGCGACAAAAATTTTCTTCTAAAGAAGGTGAGTGGCGTCAGCCACGCCCCCGAAAAAATTTTTTTATAAAGCTAAAATGAATTTTTAAAAAATTTTAAAAATTATTTCAATTATTTACAAGTAAAAACAAGTCACTTGCAATTTTTATAACCCATGTAAGTAACTTTCAAAAATTTCGCGACCCGTTCTCGGGGGGGGGGGGGCGCCTATTGTTGTTGATTGTTATTGTTATTGTTAGTCCATGCGGTGCGATAAGATATCGCATTCGCGAATCCATTCATCTACGTATCTATATTATATATATATATATAAAACTCAAAAATTGTCAGTTTGGAGGGTATGTGCGTTATAGAAACGCGCGCCGCTCAACCGATTAAGCTGAAACTTTACACACATATGTTTTCGAGCCTTGCGCAGATGATAGGCTACTTTTTGCAGCGATTCGTTGGGTCCTTCTATCGATTTATTGATTTGCAGCACTTTGCAATAAAAATGATTCTTATCATTTGCTATCAAAACAGGGGTATGTAAACAAGGCTGGCATGTCTCATTGTGAACTTCTGTTGACGAAGTGCAGTGAAAAGTGTTCTTGATGTGAGTCTCAATTGCTCATTTAAATGGATGCACTAAATGTATCTTATGCGGAAACCTTAGCGTGCAAGAGACCATGAGTGCTTTGTAGCGAGTGTTTTGTACGGAAGCGTGCTCAATTTACGCTTATAATCAATGCTTTCTTCGTTACATGCTCAATTTAAACAATGAGGGGTCAAAATTTTTCATGAGATTGCGCACAAATTATTTGTCAGTACCAGAAATGATGTCAAGACAAGCGACAACTCACATTCGCTATAGTTGATCCCTGGGACCAGGAAAGTGCGCGAGTGCAAAGTACTGCCGACTCCACAAAAATTGACGGCAAGGAATGAAGATGAAGTAGCCGGTTAACGGCAAAGTGTCACAAAAAATGATCCTCATAATAACAATGAGCGCTGCTATCAATTAACTCTCGCTGCTTGCTTAGGTTTTGCGTGTTGAACTTGATTTGGAGAAAGAGAGATATGCTACCGACTAATAAGTGTTCACATTTTGTTTTTGTTCTTTACACAGTTTCTACAATGCCACCGAATACCTTATCTTCATTCCCGATCAGTGATCATTCCCGGGCTGGACCGGGCAGATCAGCTAGTATATATATAAAACTCAAATTTGTGAGTTTGGAGGCTATGTGCGCTATAGAAACGCGCGCGGCTCAACCGATTCAGTTGAAAATTTGTACACTTAGGTCTTCGACCCCGGCGCAGATGATAGGCTACTTTTTGCGGCGATTCGTTGGGTCCCTCTATCGATTTATTGATTCCTAGCACTTTGCAATGAAAATGATCCTTTCATCTGCTATTAAAGCAGAGGTATGTAAACAACACCGGCATGTTTCATTGTGGACTTCTGTTAGCGAAGTGCAGTGAGAAGTGCTCTTGATGTGAGTTCAATCGTATAATCAAGTGAATACTCTCTATATTTTATGCTGCAGTCTAACTTAGCTTGCGATTGACCAAGAGTGCTTTGTAGTGAGTGTGCTGTGGAAAGGCGTGCTCAGGATTATACTTAACGCTTTCCTCGTCATTTATGCTGCGATCAATCTTAATGTGCAAGTGACTAAGAGTGCTTTATAGCGAGTGTGCTGTACAAAGGCATCCTCAAGGTTATACTTAATGCTTTCTACGTCACATTTCACTCTGAACAATGAAAAGGGCAAGATTTTTCATAAGATCGCGCTTAAATTATTTGGCATATCAAAAATTTTCGAGAAAATTTGAATGTCTATTCACATAATGTAAAATACTACTTACTTAGTCATAGTCAAGCTTGCCAAAAAGAAGATGTTAACATCCGAAAACAGCTTCAGATAGTGTGGTAAGCAAAGCGAGTGACCGATCTGCAGCAAAGCAACACAAAAAAT